TCTGGTGACATAAAACCACAAGTGTAAGTGCCTGGAGTTTGCTAAACGCTGCAGGAATTTTGATTGGAAGTAGGTTTTGTTGTCAGATGAAACAAAAATAGGGATTTTTTGTTTTTGCAACAAACACCAGTGATGGGTTTGGCCCAAAGTAAGTCAAGGTCATGAAGAACTGAACTGGTAACAATTTGCTTGACACAAATAATGTAGTATTATGCTATTACTTATGTATTAATTAACCAGAAACTAAGTCTTAGTTACATATTTGATCTCATGTTAATACATCATTAGTGAATTGTTATGCATGTTTTATCTCAATCAGTTATTATATTTGTTACTATATCTGTTAATTTTGTAAATCTTTGTGAACTGCTAAGAAACTACTGAAGGAAGAAGTAATGAATAAGTTAAATACTGAGCTCATATTTGTTCATCATTAATCGTGATGCATCTTTTATCTGAAGTAATTACTATATTTGTTCATGATGTGTACTTCAGTAGTAACTGACTTATTACTAAGTATTTGTGCCCCAAGTGAAGTGTTATCAATGAGCCTAATCTCCACAGCTCATGTTCTTTCAGAGGTCTTGAGAGACTTGTTAGGATGTATGCCATCCTATACTCCATCAAATATAAAGAGATTTTCAACCAAAACCTGACTGCCTTTGGCAGAAGGTTAAGATTGGATCATGGTTGGGTTTTCTGGCAAGATGATAATTCGAAGCAAAGTGCCAAATGCACATAGACGGCTCAGTGAGCACAGGATCAAGCTTCTGCAGTGGCCATGCCAATCTGCTGACCTAAACCCCACTGAAACCTCATAAAATGAGCTGAAGAGGAGAAGCTACAAGTGAGGTCAAAGGACTTTGAAGCATCTTGAGGGATTATGTATGGAAGAATTGTCTAGTGTCCCTTTAAACGTGCTTTCCTATCTCATCCAGTATTGTAAGGAAAGACTTAATGCTGTTGTCATGGCAAAGGGAGGCCACACAAAGTACACTAAATACATGGCTGCCAGTAACTGTGAGATGTGTCTTTTATGGGAAAAAAGTCTTTCTTTGGAAAGGTATTCTTTAAATAAATCTATCTCAGTGAAAGGTTAGGTTTCTCTCATAATTTGAGTGTAAGATCAAACTAATGAAGAATAAAGACATTTTTTCACAACCGTTTTTGGTCATTAATTCCGGAGGGCACTGCCGGTCCGAGTTCAAGAAACTAGGTCAAAATGCTGAAAAATGATTGTTCTGCCTTTGCCAAAGTTCATCCATTGAAATTTCGATTTCAGCTCGAAACGTAGCACAGTGAGCCCGTGTCAGTGCAAATTTGTAAGTTATCAAAGGCTTTGAAGAACTGTAGGAATTTATCAAAGCTCTCCAGCCTCCCACAGTGTAGAGACTTCTTTTAAAGTAACAGTCGTTCCCAACAATGCAAAACTTCCCGACATGACCCTTTTAGATTACCCTTCAATAGTTGGTCCATTTATTGTTTACATTTCTCTTAAATGGTTGCATCATGTTTTAACACCATTATATTAAAGCTTCAGTTTAAATGCCATCACATTACGATACAGTACAGTGCCTATGTTTCCTGGAATCACTGCAATCCTGAACCTAACCCTAACCCTAACCATTATGGAGATGTCTATGGAGATCATTCTTTTGGTCAAATTTAATTACCTGAGTGTTGTTTTGATAATAACCTACAGCTCTGGAAAAAATTGAGACCACAGCACAATTTTTGTTTCACTCATTTCTCAATGTATGGGTGTGCGTCATTGAATAATGTAATTTTTTATCAAAATGCAGCCTGGTTGTTTGCTGTTTGTCATTAATGAAGGGCTTCTTCCTTGCTTTACGGGACTTCAGTCCTGCTTCTCAGAGCCTGATATGAACTGTCCTAGCAGTGCACTTCACACCCGCACTTAAATGTTTCACATTATTTTTGAAGGTCACTTAATGTCATCCTCCGATTCATGAGTAGCTGTCAGATAAGTTGACGGTCATCTCTGGCATTAGAAAGTAGCTTCCACCTGGCTGGTGTTTGGTCATTCCCAGTGTCATCTGCTTCACCTTATTAAACTAGAAGTTACTTTATATATATATATATATATATATATATATATATATATATATAAAGCACAGGCAATTTTACTTTGGAGATTAAAAATCACTGTAAGTACCATTTGTTTACATCTGAAACCTAAACTGTTACAAATACACTGAAAGTATTATTATGTATTCAGGTAAAAAAGTGTTAATTATATAATACTTCAGCAGCTGCTCTCCATGTTTCCCAAAGTTTTGAAATTCATTTTACTATTTTAAAACAATATGTAACATATGTTAACATTTACAACAGTTACTCTTGGCCTAAATTTAACACAAGGAAATTTCAAATAAGTGTCAGAGAATATAATCTCTTTGCAATGTGAATCACAAGCGAGTGTTTGGTTTGTAGTGGATGAAACACGAACATCAAATTCACCATCAGAGTCCTGAGCTGTAGACCATCTTCAGGTTGAAATGCAATCTAGAATTTGGCTGCATCTGGAAGGTGGTCTCCAATAACAATAGAGAAGCTACTGATGCAGGTCAAATTGAAAGACTGGCAAACTCCAAACCAATGTCTCATTACAGTTAGATAATACATAAAAGTGCATCGATTTTATTCTGAAGTATGGCCTGTGCTAAAAAAGCAAACATATTTGAAGAAATTATACTGTAACAATTCTACATAATTCTGCATCAATCCAATGTCAGAATTCCTACAGCTATCTTCCTGCTCATAAAAGATTTAATTGCACAAAGATGATTGGTTATCTCTCTAAACCAATCAGATTGTAGAAGAGGTAGGTCCAAGCAATTAGAGGAGGAAGGACCAGCCAATGAAATGTCTTTGTCTCTCCTGGTGTGGTACCTTCTGATTGG